TGGACTCAGATAAGACATACACTTTTGGTTTTTGCATCAATATTTCCTAGTGGATCATTACGTCACAATCAACCTCAAGCTCATGATGCAAACCAGGGATAAGGCTCATAAAACATATTTAACTTTGAGAACACCGGCTTCAAGGAAGTATTATGTAACTCTACGGAATTACGTTAATGACGCTATGAAACGCGAAAAAACAGCATATATGCAATATATTCTGGTCAAAAATTAAAAATTTTTTAAAGTAATTTGGAAAAATCGTCATACTGGGGCGTGAATACAAAGCGTTCTTCACAAATCAACAGTCTACGGCAAGAACTGCGTAATCCAGAAAAAATTAATAACTTTTTTCTCAATGTTACTGGAAATTCTACAATTAACAGTGATACCTTATTATTTTATAGTAATAACAGATTCAATATCAATGCAAGTTTCTCGTTTATGGAAATATCCAATAAGGATATCTTTGAAGCTATCAATAAAATAAAATCAAATGCTTTCGGTATCGATAATATCAATATTAAAATGATTTCATTTATTATTCCACATTGCATAGATGAAGTAAAACATATTTTCAATGAGTCTCTGAGGCAAGGCATTTATCCTGATCTTTGGGAAAGTGCTAATATTTTACTTTACACTTCCAAAATACCTATACCCACCTGTTTGAACGAGTTACGTCCAACAAGTATTTCACCAGCAATCTCAAAAATTTTTGAAAAAATGTTAACACAACAAATCAAAGTATATTTGGATACAACTAACATACTTCCAGAAGTGCAATCTCGATTCCGACAGAAACACGGTACCAACACTGATCTGTTGAAGGTTATCAATGATATCACTACTTCTTGGGACAAATCGATGGTTTCATTTTTGGTTATGCTTGATAAAAGCAAAGCATTCGATCTGGTAAACTTCAAACTATTGCTGAGTAAACTAAAATACATTGGGTTTGAATGCAGTTCTTTAGATTGGGTGAGAAGCTATCTCACAGGAAAGGCTCAACGGGTTATACTGGATAATAATCAATTATGCTCATCTCTTCAGGAAACTTCTTCTGGTGTACCACAAGGTAGCATTCTAGGCCCATTAATGTTCTCTTTTTTCATTTTTGACTTTCCTGCCACGTTATCCCAGTGCGACGTACATTTATATGCTGATGATTTTCAATTATATTTGTCAAGTCAATCTATAATATATTATTATCTATAAATATTATTATATTTACCATGCTATCACCAGGATCAACTTAGATTTAGAAAATACACATCTATTTTCCAAAAATCATGGCCTTCGAATAAATTCAAATGAAACAGTAGCCCTATGTTTGGGATCTGACCTACAAAGGAATGAAGTTGAAACAAATTTCCATCTTTTCTTGACAATGAACCGATTGACTGGGTGAATTCAGCAAAAAATTTAGGTGTATATATCGATAACACTCTCTCGTTCAACGAGCACGTTAAACACATTTACAAAACTTGTTTTTTTCAAACTGAAATCCTTATACAAGTTCAAGTTCCAGCTTTCTCAAGAAACAAAACTGAAATTAGTTCAGTCATTGATTTATCCCCATATTGAGTATTGCTGCTCAGTGTGTTACAACTTCTTGCCAGACTATAATAAACACAAACTTCAACGCATACAACAAATGCTTGTATGAGATTTGTGTGCTGCATAAACTACCGTGATCATGTAACTCCATATTTATTGATTCATAGAAATTAGATCATCTGAATATTGAGTTTAGAATTTGTTATCTCATATCTGCATTCTTATATGAACTATTGGAAAGCAAAACTCCTAATTACTTGTTTAGATTAATTAGTAAGCGATATGATAATCATTCTATCAATTTACCATTCCATATCATGTTACCACCAAATTTGAGAGATGTTTTTCTTACTATGGACCGAAGTATCCAAATAATTTATTATCGTATATTTATTTGTCTATATATCAATTCTGAAGAACTTTGAAAATTCATTTCTTAGATGTTCAAAAATGATTGTAATATTTTATATCTCCATAATAGTTGTTTTTTTATATTATTTTTGTGTCTATTGTAACTGTTACTTATAGTCTTTCTGTATGCTTTTTTTTTCTTAATTATGGGACGTGTGGAAGATAGCCTCCGGCTAACCCTTTTTCGTTTGTGTATAAAACTTGTTTTTGCACAATAAACGGTATTATTATCATTATTATTATATTGGCTTTTTTTACGTTCATTATGAAATACTTTATGATGAATAATTTATCGTTCCTCAAATATTTGGCATTCAAATGATCGATTTATATGTTATTCAGAAATTCAAATATTTCACTATTCGTTAATTCATAAACTCAATTATTCTATTAGAAATATAATAATTCAACAGATGTACTACACATATTTGTAAAAAGTTCATTTTGAATTCAATTTCTCTCTTTGGTCGTTTCTTATACAAATTCCACAATGAATTCGATTTGAAATGCGTTTCGCTATATGAAAGCTTCATCAGTTGAACTGCTGATGAAGCCACACTGTAGCGAAACGAGTCTCAGATAAAATTCATTACGAAAATGGAATAATTATCATCATGGACAGTGTTTTTATTTTCATCAAGTAACGAATCAGTCTATTCACTATCTTCTTGTCCTCTTATAAGATCCTTCATGTAATGTTTCGAATCTTATTTTCGACTTTCATATCCATTTAGAACTCAACAGATCTTACCTGTACTTTGAACGGAACGTTTAAAAGTAAGTTTTGAAAATGAACAATTTTTTTGTCAACCGAACTACTATTTACTAATATTCCGCCAATTTAGTATAACTTCGACCAATTTTCAATTCAGGGAATGAGTATTTTATGTACTGAAAAAACAAAATGGGGTACTCTGCAGGGAATGTAATTTGAAATGATGTCCCAATCTTCCGAAATCTGAATGAATGTTTTCAATATTTCACTATCGTTTCACTATCGATCGATCCTTTACATTTTCGAAAAAATGATGATACCTACTTGTGCCATTGAAATTCCTATAATTATTTCACAGAAAAACATGCTTTTCATGGGAATGCGGAACTGCCAATGTGCGTCAAACACGCAATTTTTCATGTTCCGGTGACTAATATTGATCTGGGAAAAATATGAAACGTGTCATAGCTGATAAACATTTCCAAAGTTGATTACCTAAGCGAAATCATATGCTATTGTTGCAAGCACAATGCCTCCATATCTATTGTTCAACCATTCAGAATTACGATACGCTATAACGTAATGATCATGCGTCAAATTTCAACCAAGAAGACTGAAATTTATATACAACCTGTTGAATTTATATCTGACTTTGGCAATTAGTTGGCATGGAAAACGTGGATCTACAATAAATAGTACCAATACGCTGGGGATGATTCAACTGTTTCAAATGTCTTTGTCGTTGGTTAATTTCACACTTCACTGGTTGCGCTGATAATCATCATTCAATTTGATTTTCGTTCACTGTCACTGATGATCAGTAACAAATGAAATTCTCATCACAGGCAATGTAATGCAAATACTTTGTTCCTTGTTTTAGTTATCAACAACCTTCTTACTTTTTATCCGAAGAGTTGAATTACTTTCCTTGCCGTGAATATCTTTGAACTAATACTTCACCTAGACGCTTTTAGATATTTCGCTTCTGATTATTATTGATGAGGTTTCTCTTGAATTGTTCATAAGTTAGGGGTTACTTAAAAATATATACTCAAAGCTGTCTAATAAAACCGATTCTATGAAACTAAGAAGCATGTTAATGCTCACATCTACTATTTCATAAATACAGTCCGCTCTATTACTATATTCGGCGCTTCATATTGTAAACATAAATAAATTAATAAATAAAGTTCATTAACTAGGTTACATTAGTGTAAATGTTTGTAGCAAGTCATTCAAGATACATCAATAGATTGATAAAATTTTTTCAAAAGATTAATAAAAATTAATTATTGTATATAACATACACAGATTTCGAAAATGGGTGACATATTCACTGACAGAATAAAAGCGAAATCTCAAAAGATAAGCCTTTAATGTTCTTTTGAATTTGGTTATACTAAGGTTCTTCAAATCTTCAGGTAAGTAATTGTAAAGACTATAATCTAAGGTATTTTTCTGGCTCTTACTGAAACGGTACCGATTGGTACGAATTCTGTTTGCATTTCTGTTGTTATAATCATGTATATCTGATTTTTTTGTCAAAGAGTCCGTGTTTTTATGTATTTCTACCAAGACACTGTACAAAAATAAAGTTGGTAGCGGCATTATTTTCAGTTTCAAGAAAAGAGGTTGACAATGATCTCTGTAACCAGCATTACTTAAAATTCTGATAGTTTTTTTCTGAAGTTTGAAGATTTGCAAGGCATTAGTGGAATTACCCCAAAGTATAACACCATAGGTTATATGCGAGTGAAAAAGTGAAAAATATGTCATTTTAAGGATATCATAACTGGTAACGTCTCCAAGTTGTCGTAAAAGAAAAAGAGTTCTACATAATTTACTTTTCAGTTGGTCGATATGGTGAGACCAGGTGAGAGTACTATCTAAGGTAATGCTCAATAATTTGACTGTATTTATACCTGTATTTATACCTGATGAAGTATTACTAGTAGAAAAACATGATTTTTGAGTTTTTTCTGAGTTTAACTTGAAACGGTTAACTGAGAACCAAGTTGTGGCTTTATCTTCTACCTGTTCAGATACTTTAGAGAGTTCTGAAGACTATGTGAATAGATGAAGGTTGTATCATCTGCAAAAGTAACAGTTTTGAAGGGGTTCATGAAAGATGAAATGTCATTCACGTAAATGATAAACGAAAGTGGACCCAATGCGGACCCTTGAGGTACACCAAGTTTTACTAGTTTGAAATCTGATGTAATATTATCAATAGATACATCGAAATCTTTCTGAAACAGAATAGTTGATAGGTGAACTCATCAATCTACGTGCTCAATGTATTTCTTTGTTTCAGGTCGTATCCCTAGCTCTCTATACCTACTTCTTAGCGGCACTTTTGGGAAGGCAATTCGTGGAAGGGCCTCAAAATAAATTCGAGGCTCCTGACATGTATTTTCCATTCTTCACTTCACTGCAGGTGAGATAAATACCAAAAATTATCTGGAAGTTAGGAAATGATCTAGAAATGATCCACAAGTGATTCTAACCAAACAATTTTAATTTACCATCTGATAATCAAAAACTATCATTGATATCATGAATAGAAATGCAAAAATTATATCTATACATTTATAGATTTATATGATGCATTATAGTTATAATATGCCTAGTATGAAATTTAACAAATATGGTTTATTTTTGAAGTCAAACAAATTTTCATCTTTTATGAAAACTATTTATTTATGGTTGAAACAACTATAAAAATAAAAACAACAATTAAAATTAATTGGCGCTCCGGGGCGACTTCATTAATTCCAGTGGCGTATTTGCTTTTTTAGCGGCAGGAAAACCCAGAAAAACCTGCTGCACTACATCATCTGAAGATCTTCATCTACCAATGTCTTTTCTATTATAAAACAAAATGTAGAGTGTCTCCAGAGGCTCCAATAATACGAGTTCATTATTTTCATCACAACCAAAGCATATTTCAATGATGAAAGCTATGTTTTTTAGAAGATAAAAGACGAAGTTCAGTTTTATTTTTGGCGAGCGAAACAATACAGAAATAATTCAGTCCATTGAAATCTTTTGATATTTTCCACAATTCAAATTTGAATTCCAGATTCTTTAACTCTAGCTGAATATTCTCCTGACATATGGCTTTCAATTTTTGGACCATAGCCATCTATACCTCTTATAATATATGAACGAATTCTTAGTAATGATAGTTCTTTGGAGAACTTTCAAAACGGTTTTTTTCAGTTCCAATGTTTGGTCGTAGGTCGATAAGAAAGATTATATTCACTGTTATCAAACAATTCAGAGCGACCTCTTGTCCAGAACGAATTCCTTTTCAAATTTCAATCAGAGGAAGTATAACTTTTATGGCCACTGAACTAGAATTAATTTCACGGTAATTTCTGATTGCAGGATCTGGAATTTGGTGTAATTATCTACCGTTATATATAAATTGGAGTATTCAGGCAAACGGCTGATGAACCGTCAATAAGGATATTCCTGAAGCAGTATCCTTTTATTTTTATGAAATATTTCATGGTTTTTATCCACCAATATCAAACCGAAAACTTCTAGTATCTGAGACCATTTGAGCTTATACCATTCTCTTTGATATGATCATGTACCTTGGTTGATTTCTTTCCATTATACAACTATTTTCATTTCTGTTATGTATTTATTTACACCTCGATACTACTTTTGGTTGTTCAATTCACAGGTCTACGATGAAAAAATTGTAGGATATCAAACTGGTGATTTTAACAGTATTTTGTGTGGAGATTACGGAAAAAATATCACTAGTTCGGACTTCCATTGTCTACTATATAAAATGATTTGAAATCCCTGAAACAAGTAAAAAGGAGTAATTAAAAAAGAATAGTTGAAAATAACAATTTGGGATTTCAAATCATTTTATATAGTAGACAATGGAAGTCCGAACTAGTGAAATTCATCACGAAACATTGTCAATCACCTTCAAACAAACGGAAAAAATAGTAAAAAAATTCTATCACCTATAGTGATATACTACACAATGTGAGTGTATATCTAAGATGAAATACGGTTTTAATCTATTTATTTCAATATTAAAACGAATCTAAACTGGAAAAATCCAGTTCCTACTGGAACAAGGCATGTATATGTCAATCTGTCAATGTTAGCCTCCGGTGTTTCATTTTCATGGTACCGATTTAGTTTTCTGCAACAATATACCCGGCCTCATGGAAATGTTCAACATAACGTATGAACCAGAGACATGAAGAATTTTCATCGATAATCAAAAAAAAAGTTTGAAAGTTGTACTTCTTCATAATGGGAACCAATATGCTTCTGTGCCTGTTGGACACTCAGTCCATTTGGAAGAATACTACGAAAATCTTGAATTTGTTCTTAATAAGCTCGGCTACTCTGATCATAAGTGGATAATTTGTGGAGATAATTTAATTGATATATATATATATCAGATAATTTTATTCTATATGACACCAACCTCTCAGAATTGAAAGGAGTCTTTAGAGGGATGAAAAATAAACACACTTCAGGAATTGACGACATCTCCTTGAATATTTTCGAAAATCTACTTTGGTTGCTGAATTGATACAAAACTACAAAATGTTGGGCTGCAACATGAGTGTCAAAGTCCATTTCCTTCACTCACATCTGGACTACTTTCCCGAAAATCTAGGGGCTGTAAGTGAGGAACAAGGAGAGCGGTTCCATCAAGACATAAAAGAAATGGAACGCAGATACCAAGATCGGTGGAATGTTAACATGATGGTAGACTACTGTTGGATGTTAAAAAGGGAAAATCCGCAAGAACACAGCTGAAAAATACCAAAAGAAGCTTTGACGGAAAAAGAAAACGTTCTTACAAAGACTTATAATCACTTTGCAAATACTTGTGTATCATAATTATGCTTAGTTTGGCTCCGTAGCATTTTTTTTTTGTTTTTAATTTATGTTAAAATAATAGAAATGAATCCGCAATTCCTCGATTTTTTGTACTTTTTCAATTATTACATCCTCATTTTGTAGGCAAACCTCACGTGATAGATAAAAACGAATGTCATTTTTGAAATCAGCGCAAAAAAACTACAGAAAGATCAGTTAACGAAATCAAAAAAATTTTTTAAAAAGCTTTTTTGCAGACCTGTGATTATTGTTTCCATATCTTTTGAATGTCGAATCTGACATAAAAGTTGCTATTTTATTCATCGTGTATACTAAGAATCCACCTATTTCAGTACCACTCATTTTATATCAGTTAACAAAAGTTACAATTTATAAGAGACACGCTTCTCATGGAAGATTTTTGTTATGCTGAAGAGCGACTAATTTTTGTCGTTATGGGTTTATGTCAATGAAATTGAAAAAGTTCTGAATGTATATCAATTGAGATTCAATCACTGAACTTTCAAGAAACATTTTACGAAAACTCCATTTTTTTAATTGAAAATTGTGTACCAGGAACTGACTGTATTTTTCACACACAAATATGTTTGTCCAAAATATGTTTCACTCCACATATGTATAGATTTTTGTGTTCATCACTCTAATGATAGATTTTCTTTACTCGTAAAATCATAGAAACATTTGACATCACATGAATAATTGTTAACCACTTGTTCCAAAACCAAGCCAAAACCAACAATCGATTGTGTAAACACTTCATAAAAATATCTTCAATTTTCAGTTTTGCTTCTATGTGGGATGGCTCAAAGTAGCGGAAGTTTTAATCAACCCCTTCGGCGAGGACGACGATGATATTGAATTGAACTGGCTTATTGACAGACACATCAAGGTGAGGAAATTTATGAGATTACTGACCTCTAATGTTTGGCTGCCTTCAGTTAATTTCAATAAGAGTACATCAGGATGTTATTCTACTTGTGTCTCGTGTAGAATGGATACATATTTCGTGAGATTTAATTTCTGTTAATTCATTCGGAAGGTGTATATTAATGGACCAATTATGGTTAGATATATACGTTATTGTATTTGATGAATTCAAAACTGAAAAATTGAATATTTGACTATTCAGATCAATCTATGAAGTAGGGAGGGTGTGGAATGGGGACTGGATATTCTTATGCCGCACCTGGTTGGAATATTCAGAGCCTCTCTAGCTCTGAGGTATTTTCCCAGTAAGTGGAGAGAAGTATGAGTAGTATTTACACCCAAACCAGGTAGGATGGACTACACCTTACCAAAAGCAATCCGACCAATTAGCCTCACATCGCTTTTCTTAAAAACTATGAAGAGGCTAGGTGAGCGGTACATAGTTCACAACCCACTTCATCCAAATCAGCATGCATATACTCCAGGAAGGTCTACTGATTCGGCCCTTCACCATGTGGTTGGCATAATCGAGAGGTCATTGGACAACAAAGAATCCACCCTGGGTATATTCATAGATATCGAGGGAGCGTTTGATGAAACAACCTTTCCAACAATTACCCAGCAACTACACTCCAGGAATGTACCCCTGGTAGTAGGAGAATGTTTACTCAAGATGCTCTCTAGTAGAGCAATAAGTATCAATGTAGAAGACATCACCGTGAGAGGACTGGTCATGAGGGGATGTCCACAGGGAGGATTCTTATCACCCCTTCTCTGGAACATAGTTCTGGATACCCTGATTAATCATCTCAACAATAATGGATTCCACACAATTGAATATTCAGATGACATAGTAATCTTGCAGACCGGCCAATTTGTGAACATAATGTGCGATAGAGCGCAGGATGGGCGCAGCAAACTGAGATGGTCCTCTTCACCAGGAAAAGAAGTTTATCGGGCTTAAAACCTTCCGAAATCTTCAAAAGCAAACTAAACTTCTCTGAAGAGGTGAAATACTTCTGTACTACCCTCGACAGGAAGCTAACATGGAACTCTCACCTACAGAATAGAGCAAAAAGGACATATGTGGCTTATGAGCAATGTCGGAGGACAGTGGGACGCGTATGGGGTCTTCTATCCTGTGTGGTCACTTGGATCTACACTGCAATAATAAGACGTATGTTAACGTACGGAGCCACTGCGTGGGGAAAGTTCTACAAGCAACGGTCATCCAGAAATGATATCAAATACAGCGACTGGCTTGTTTAAACATCACAGGAGCCATGAGAACAACACCACTGCGGCAATGGAATTAGTTACTGGTCTGACCCCTCTGGTCCTGTACGTTAAGGAGGTTGCGTTAATGGCTATGTTACGATTGTGCACGGCTTGTGTAAACCTCGAAGTAGGAATGGGTCAATTGAGGCTGAGCCTATGGCGAGAAGCGCTTACTGCGCAACCTCTGCTGCAGGCAACCAGTGATGCAATTGAACCCAGGTTTGTTTTTAATGATCCCAACAAAATACTAATGAAACAGAACACAGAGTCAGATACTAAAGAAGGCTGAGGATGTGGAGTGTACTCCAGATCACTAAGAGGATGGGGAATGGGAAGAAATACCACCGTGGTTCCAACAGAACTGGCTGGTATCTCAATCGGAACAGTCGCCACAAAAGAAATAACCAGCAAAAGAATTTCTGGCAAAAACATAATAATCTGCACTGACAGCAGACAAGCCCTATTAGACTTGAACATACAACGTGTTACCTCAGGGCTAGTACTAGAGTACCACCAAGATTTAGCCAAAGCCTCGATAGATAATAACATTATCCTGAGGTGGGTTAAAAGGCACGACAGGAGTAAAGGCAGTCACATTGCCGACTCTTTAGCCAAGGGAGCGGCTGGACTAAGAATTTTAGGACCCAGTGGTCTGATGACTTCGACAATTGAGGAATTAGCCAAATGAGATGGAATCAATGGATACAATCTTATTCAGATAAAATTTTTGAAATTAAACTTTTTTGCGTGCGCTTGATTCGAGGAGTAAGCTGGTGACTGTATGACGAGAGCGTTACGAAAAATGTGATCTGGTGAGGTGAACGGAAGTTGAGACGGAGGTATAAGTTAGTGAAGATAGAAAGAGAGAGAGAGGGGTACGAGCACACAGAAAACTATCATGTGTTGCCAGTCATTTCATGTATATCAATTGAGATTCAATCACTGAACTTTCAAGAAACATTTTACGAAAACTCCTTTTTTTTAATTGAGAATTGTGTACCAGGAACTGACTGTATTTTTCACACACAAATATGTTTGTCCAAAATATGTTTCACTCCACATATGTATAGATCTTTGTGTTCATCACTCTAATGATAGCAAGAGGTTCCGATGGTAATTTCGCCGAAGATGGGCAACTCTTGATGAACTTTCCATAAGACAAATCATAACTACAAATGAATGATAACCAAAATGAGCCTACAACAACACAACACGCTAATCATGTCACATCCACCGTATCCACCAGATTCACCCCCCTTTGAAGGGGATAGACATAAATATTCACTAAGAAAAATTACAATTCACCCCATTTCATGAACAGAGTGTGTCCTCGTCAGTCATTCAGAAATAGAATTCTACACCATCATCAATCATAGTATCATTTTCTTCATAATTCATATTGATCGTAAGTAGACGTTTGTCATGACGGAATTTCTAGAGTGTAATGTCAACGTGCTCACATATTCAGTTTGGATCGAACGCTTCGGTGTATTCACCTTGGCACAAATAGAGAAAAACTATATCCATACGTGAAATACTAATTGTGATTCCAGTGCAATGTAAGCATTTTGACAGTCAAAACTGCCATATTTCGAGTATGAAAATATGATGACACCTGGAAAATAAAAATACGTATCTACATTGAAAGCTTAATACAATAAGCGACGGAAAAACCGTTCCTCATTCAATTACCGTCATGAAGAATGTGTATACTCGTACTTGGAAGAGTATAAATAAAGGAGACGTTAGTAGGAATAATCATCTATTGTTGAATTTGAGTTTTATTTTCGACGTAATAGGTCGTAGCAAAAGTATATGTCTGTTTGGGAAAGAAAGTTTTTGGCTTTCTACTACTCCATCTGATACAAAAAAAAAGGGATGAGAGAATCTTCCAAAGAAAGGAAAGAAGTAATCAATTGGAAAATAAGTTACTCTATACATGGATGTGTAGATCATGCAAAGAAGTAACTTTCAGACAGAAACTGAAATAAAGCCCTCCTGAAACAGTTACTTTCAAATAAACATTGAATTACACGAAAGAAAAAAATTCTTTCGAAACAAATACTTCTATATGAACACTGAATTATACAGAAGATACTTTTCTCTACTCAGTTTGTATATAAAACATTTGTTGAGGAATAAGAATCAGATATCATTCACATGAGTTTTACTTTGAATGAATGGTAACAAATTGCACTTACATGGAACACTGTCATCCTCACTGGTATACATCGATGTTTCGCCTTAAGACACTTGCCTTAAGGCTCTTCAGTACCAAATTGGATAATATTATAGAAAATACACACACTTCATTATTTCCCAAAAATTAATTACTCCTAAAAATATATTCCTTTCAATTCATTCCTGTTATTGAATGATTGTGGCGGCGTTTCCGTGAAACTGGCAGTCCAGCCGAACAACATCTATCTATACTATTATAATATAAATCAATCATGTATAAATTTATTCAATGTATATTTATCTTACACTCAGTTTTATATTCAATTTTTTCATGACTGTCTCTATTGTAATGCCACAAACAAGTGTGTATGATACTTCTGTGGATATTATTATGTTTATTCATTTTTATACCCAACACTTACATCATTGAATCGATTTTATTTTATCACGAATAAACGTCATTATCATCATTATCAATCTATGGTACCTGTTTATTAAAAAAAAAACAAACTAATGAAATCGTTGGGGAGTTGTGTGATGACTGCTACCTAGGACCTTCCGAATAATTTTTCAGATTTCGGTACATTATTCAATAAAAATGTTCAACTAGTTTTTTTTTACTCATTTTATTTAGTTTCTCAATTGCTGCTTCCTTCGTGAAATTAATGTATGTAATGATCGATCAATTCATAATTGTTATAATCATTCTCAGCTCATTATAATCAAACAACATTCACTACATTAATTTCTCCCCAGGCTTCATATATGATCGTGGATGAAATGCACGAGGAACATCCAGAATTGTTGAAGGACCAATATTGGGATGATGTCGTACCCAAAGATCTTCCCTACACTGTGGCTTCCGAACATTACCGCAGACAAGAACCGAAATGTTCTGCTGATTCCTATAAAATAAAAGCTCAGGATGCCGTCTACGCCAATCTGATCGCTCCAAAGAAGTCGCTGTTAGGCGAAGATATGTACGCTGATTATGTAAGTTCCAATGAGTACTGAATACTTGTTTCCTGAAGATAAATTAGTACATGATTGAAATTATTCGACCGTGAAAGATGATATCTCAGAGCAGAACTTGCTTCGGTAGTTACTCATCAATATATCATTTCGAGAGAAATAGAAATAATTGTTGCTTGAAAAAACTTTGAATGTACTTCGAACACACTAATGACTACCATTTTTATGTCATTCCAATAGCGTCATATAGTAAAGTAATATCGCTGGCTGGCACTGAAATGATAAATCTGCGTTTTTTAATGTTCTGCTCCATATTGGAAAACTTTATAAACATTGCGTTTCTATAAAATTCTAATCAATGCCTCTATTTGGTGAGAATTTACCAAGTTTTCATGCATTGGGAGTCGCTCATTGTTATTTAAAAAAAATCATAATCAAACTTTAGAATTGACTGTGCTAGATGAAATTGAACTGGAGAATGTGAAACTGACGTAGTCAGCGTGGGAGGTGGAGGCGTGTGTGAGGATTTGTGGAAATTAATGAGTTATTACAAAAAATAATAGCGCAACTATTACTAAGGGCACTAAGTTGTATATTCACTAATAATGATCGGACCGTCGCGTACAGCACGTCAAATGAAAGGATAAGAAATGCAGAATTCATCGACAAAGAAAAAGCAAAGATGACGCAACATGTCAAAAAGGCACTAAGTCATATCTTCGTTAATGATAGTTGAATCTCAACGTGCAGCACATCAAATGGAGGGAAAACGAATACAGAGTGTACCGACAGGCGGAACACTAAGGGGGCTAATAGGTTAGGCGGAGTACCAAGGGGGCCGAGGGGCGGAGTTCCACGCTTGAATCGCTACGATACTCGTTCCATCCTGCGTCGATGACGTCACACGTTTCCCCCACTCCTGTTTGAACCAAAAATTGCAAAAAGTTCTGCTCCATAAGAAAATACATGGGATTATGCGCTCGGAACAAGTTTGTTCATCTACTGATTTGAATTTCCCGCTGTATGCGCGATAGCTGATTGGTTGACTGAATGACGGTGAAAGTGGAGGTGGTCTGAAGTGGTCTTTGAAGGCTAAGGCTAAGTTTACACATAATGGACGTCTGGCAGAGACAAGGCGCTGACCTTTGCCCCTTCCGTGTGAATTGGGCCTGAGGTCCAAAAAGGTCCAGAATTTAGCTCCATAAGAAAATGCATGGGATTTTGGCTCAGAATTCTTGCAACTCAAAAGAATAGAGAATGTCTGTTCCTTCTGTTCCCTAAGAAATTTGAAAAATTTCATACGGAGTTTTTTCATCCTCACATCAAAAAATTCGAAAATATTCGAGTAGATTTTACAAATTCGCTCTGATATAAGTGATTTAATTGTTGCTTGGGATCTGTAACGTCATGCACAGTCGACTGTTGAGGATAGACATATTGAGGCCTTTGAGAAGACCAGTGACGAAACTTAGGGAGTACGCATATTGAGACCCCAGGGTCAAGTCACACATGTTGAAGGGTGTCACTACCTGAGGAGTAGGCAGAATGAGACCTCAGTGTAGTCATGCCTTCTTGAAAATGGCTTCAAAGTCTAAGCCGGAACGTCGAACAAATAATCTGAATTCCGGGTTGAACCTCGTTTGGTGTTTTGAGTTGTTCGATGTTTCGGCTTCGACTTTGAAGCCAATTTAATGAAAATTTGACTAAACTGATATCTCAATCTGAATAATCCCCAGATAGTGACGCGATTTGGGAGTTTTGTAACTTGACGACTGAGTCTCGATCTACCCACTTCCCAGGTTTCATCACTGGTCTCTGAAAAGGTATCAATCGGCCCACTCCAAAGCGTCGACTGTGGTACACAGGTTCTGGTTCGGTATTTATGTCCGTGGACGAGTGAAGGGGCTGACTGGCAGTGGAAGTTGCTTCTGCAGAAGTAGCTTCTGCAAGTCACACCCCTGTTTCCACTTTATCTTCACCTGAGTTAGTAGAGATTTGTCAGATGAACGAGGCTTTCCTAAGTACTCAGAGAATCGTACTGCGCATTCCACTGCAGCTTTCATCACTTTCACTTGTTGAAACCAGAGCTCAGAAACGAAGCATGCAAGATCCAATACCAGAAAGCGAGATAGGGGGATAGCTTCGCTTCTACCCACTCAGGCTTGTCCTTTGGGTACACTTGATTTCAGCAATGCATTCATAGTCTCGCCTAGTACCACTGATGAGACCTATGGTTGGACGAAACAGTAGTGCCCTGTGTTGGTACATGGATACTCCAACTTGATGTAGTTTCCTTGCAGTGGAATTTGTGGTGGAAGATGAATAGCGATAAATATCAACAATTCGCTGTTACTTCCAATATCCCACGTTGGTGTCGAGGCTAATTACAACCCCTAACATGCCGACGACCTGGGTTCAATCTCATACCAATCGCTTTTTTTAATTTAATTTTTCTCAGCTGACGATTACCAATAGAACCACGTGACTAGTACGCGACGAGGGACTCAGGGGTGAAGCCCTCAGACGGCCTGAGGGGGTAGGCGGAGTCCCAAGGGAGTCCACGCTCTTTGAATCTGTCCGATACTCATTTCATCCTTCTCCGCATCGATTACGTCACACGTTTCTCTCTTCCACTTACTAAGTCTCTTTCTGAAACACTTCGCGCACAACGACGCGCGACCTTGAAGTGGGCCAGGAACAAGTTTGCTCATCTACTTATGCGATTGTTTAAAAATTCCTCAGGGATCGACCTTAGTTTCCACTTGATGATTTCTCAAAAATATTGAAGATCTTAATATGAAGTTTCGCCAATACTGTTTTTCCTTTAAAATTCGTCAAAACCTACGAGATACTAACTCTGAACTTTCCCACTAGGACAATTGGGTGTATAGTCATCTATCAAGCTTACCTCCTGATGAAGTTATGAAAGTTGTTCAGATAATGAATTTTCTGGACCATCTTGATCAGCATGACTCCCACGAGTCACAGGTAAACATTAAATGTTTTATGTTCAAAATGTGTTCAATAATCATTAATGATCTGGACAACTTCAAATTGACAACTCATGAGATAGTAGTTGTGAGACAATCTACGAAAATATTCTTGATATTATCTATATGTGGTTGATTGATGATACCATCGACAAGAAATGGATCTCTTGATTCATTCAGAAAACTGATTTTCTAACACGAAATCCATCGTGTAGACTCATTCAATCTTCATCCAACACTTTCACATGATACCTTGAATATTTATGAAATTTCAAATGTTTGAAAAAGCGTTTCCCAATTCAAAATTTCAAACAAAACAAAGTGTGTGTGAAATTTTCCAGTCATTTGAAAGACCAGGCTGAACTTGATCGGTGTCATGGTTACCTTGGCTTTTAAGACCGCTGTGGTTTATGGCTCATCCGCATAAACCTGCGACTTAGGAAAACTCCACAAAAAAAGTCCAACGGGGTCAAACCGTACAATCTCAGTGGTCAATTAACATACGTTCCGCGTGAGATGGCCATGCCCTCAAATCTCTCGTGCAGAATATCCAATGTGGCATGAGTTATGTGGCACGTAGCGCCATCTTGTTAAAACCACATGTCGTTGATGTCTAGATCATTCAATTCAGACCAAAAGAAGTTGGTAAACATCGACCTACAAAGGTCGCCGTTGAGAATGATGGCCAGGCCAATGTCGTTCTCAAAGAATTATGGACCAATTACGCCGCCAACCTAAGATCCACACCAAACAGTGACTTCTTAGGAATGCATTGGACGCTCTTGGATCTCATGTGGATTGGGATCATTCTAAACTCGAGAAGAAAAAGAAAAAGGCCAAAGACATTGAACTATTTTCACAACATAAGTTCTTTGACAAATTTGTCAATCTCACGAATACCAGTTTCACAGAACATGAAACTCGTCTATCAGAAAAAGGTCTCAATTACAATATTAAACATAAATTCGACAAATTTGGAAGTTTTGGGAATTGATACAGATATCGCGTTGATGGGGACATGCTACGCCAATAAACATATTGCTGCAGAAATTTCAAAATCTGAAAAGATGCATAACGGTAGGTTCAATCCGGAATTGAAATTGTGAAATCTATAAAAGAGATAACATTGTTTATACGTGAGCTGTTAAAGGCAAAACGGTCATAGACATTAACAAAGAAGAATACGTGGAGAAGACTTTAAAATTTCATGCTGGCATGTACGATAGTCTCAGAAACGACCCCAGCCATTTATATCCGAAAGAAGTCAAGGAAACTTTGGAAAATATTCATTGTGTCATGGACGAAAAGGAAAAATTCCGATCGTTACTCATGAACCCACAACCACCGAAATTGTATTCATTAGTTGAATTACACAAAGGTAATACCCGATAAGACCGGTAGTTTCTTTCGTCACAGCTCCTCCAGTTGAAATATCCGAAAAACTTATTGCAATTATTCAAAACCACACCAATTTCAAATCAAAATTCAGTTTGAGGAATGCATACCATTTGATCAATGAAATTCAAGATATCACACTCCCGGATAATGCCAAATTGATTTCATTCGATCTAAAGAATCTGTTTCCCAGTATCCCTCCGAATGAAATGATTACTTTGGTGGAAAATCTATTGGAAATCTCTATCAATCCAGTAGTGAAAAATGAAATATTAGACTTGCTTACGGTGTGTTTGTCACAGAATTACTTCCAATTCAATGACAAGGTTTACTCATCTTGCAAAGGTCTCATAATGGGAAACCCACTTAGTCCTATTCTGGCAGAGATTTTTATGGACGATTTGGAGAGAAAAATACATAGTAACCCACTGGTAAGAAGTTTCCTGTATTGGTATAGATATGTGGATGATATCCTGGTATGTTTCACGGGAACGAACAGACAGTTGACGAACTGTTTGAAGTTCATCAATTCTCTCCACGCTTCTATCAAATTCACAGTGGAGATGGAACAGGACGATTCTATACATTTTTTGGACTTGACAATAACAAAAGTTAACAACAAACATGATTTTTCAATTTATCGTAAACCGGCACATACATATATTATCATTCATAACTCTTTCACTCACCCATATATGCATAAGGTAGCAGCTTTCAACAGTATGATCCACAGACTGATAAATGTACCCTTATCAGAAGCGAATTTCAATAAAGAACTGAATATAATAAAGCAAATAGCCGTCAACAATGATTATGATAGCGGTCTGATACATTCTTTATTATCAAAAAAGTTATACAGTCAGCTTTGAAAGGAGTGTATAAATCATCGTGTGGGTCATGTCCGATGTTTTATATAGGTCAAACTGGAAGAACGTTCAAAACCCGCATAAAGGAACACAAATATAGTTTTCAGAGTGGAAAAATAAATTCCACATATGCAGTCATTTAATCTCAGAGGGACATGAGTTCAACCATGAATACAAACCCCTCCATTTTCAGAAGAAAGGTTTGAAACTTGACCTGTTGGTCAACATCTTATGAACGACCAAACTGAATTGAATAATTCGCCATTATTGAATCTGTTTATTCGCAGGTAAAAATAAAGTGACCAGTTCAAAATGAATGTATATTGGCGTTACTGATGAAATAAGGACACTGCCTAGATGCCCGACAAATTCACAACAAACTTTAACTTTGAATACACACGTATAAGATGGAAAATTACGAAACTAGTTGTACGTAACTACACCAGTTTGTATGTTTCTTTCACGAGTCATTCATAGTCACCGTTTGGGGTCAATTATCATTATCAGCATTAACACTATGAACGTCTCAGGAACCGACAGAAAACTTATTTGTGTGACAAATCGGAGGCAAGAGACGGATTGTTGAGTCATTCCGATAAACAATGTGACAAAGTGACAATGGAACTATTTCAATATCAAAGGGATGAATAGCACAAACAACAAACGCAATTATTTGTGATACTGTTTCTATTAACCATTTATCCTCATCAATTTATCCTCATCAATTGTAAATCTTCAATAACGGTGACCAACAACTCACCAAGCTTTGCATGGATCAAAATTGTTTTCAATATAATGGCTAATATTATGAACAGCGTGAAGGAACGGCTAAACCATTGTCTCCATTTATCCATGGGTAGGTTTGAGACGGAAACTGGGAAAGAACTCAGTTACTTCCCTAGGATCAGGTATGTTGATGACATATACGCTGTAGTGGATACCAGGATAACGAGAATCGAGAATGTCCTTTCAGCACTAAACAACAGGTGTAAGAGTATAAAATTCACATATGAAGTAGAAAAAGAACGAAAGTTGCCCTTTTTAGATGTATTGGTCATGAGGAACGAACAGAACGAAATAGAATTTGACATTTACAGGAAAGACACGGGCACTTTCAAATACATTCCCAATGACTCGAATCATTGTCCACAACACAAAATGGCGGCACTGCAATTTCTAGTACACAGGTTCATAACTTTTCCTTTGAAGAAAGATAAGTACGACAATGAAAAGAGAGTGATTCGGTATGTAGCTGAAGGAAACGGTTTTAACCCAGATATAGTTGACAAGATAATTAGAAAATGTAAGTTTAGGGAAGTACTTCGTAAATCTTCGACTTTTCAAAAAGAGGAGAGTAATAACAAGTTTATAGTAATCCCATATGAACCCCAATACACGAGAGGGCTTCAACAGATATTCGATAAAGTAAATATGAAAGTTGCATATAAATTTCTCATAAATTGCAACAGCTTCTTGGTAATCCAAAAGATAGACTAGAAAACACAGAAAGGTCGGGGATTTACGAAATCAGTTGTCGAAATTGCAACAGCAAATACATCGGCCACAGCCGACGAGAGATTAAAACCCGCTTCAAGGAGCATTGTGCACACATGAAGTACGGAACGATAGAAAAATCCAGTGTCGCCCAACAAGCTCTAGACAAGGACCACAGAATTGGTGAAAACAATCTGAAACTGATTAGGCATGTGCAAAACACCAGGCTACTCGATGCATGTGAGGGTCTAGAAATAGCAAAATGTAAAAACAGCATGAATGGCGATAAGGGACCCAATCCGTTTAGCCCGCCTTTCAATCTTCTGTTAGGAAGAGAATAATTACTAAGAACTTACAGGTAGTTAATTACCGAGAAATTCCATATTGGACTTCAGGTATACAACCTCAGGTAACAAATTTTAGTATATAAGGACTAACCAGACTAGACTAGTTATCAATTTTTTTTTCCTGAGTAAGTTAACTTTGTTGGCGAAACGCGCGTCGAGTGCAAAAATATCATTTTGATGTTAGGGCAATTGATCTCGAAAAAAGTTATGTAAATCTTCAATCGTTGGCTCTGATAGAAAAAGAAATGATCTGCAACGTCATTCCTGAATTTGATTCATTTGTATCAAACAATTCGAAATAGTTTCAACGTGTATACATGTAGATAACATTATTATTAGTCAGTGGGCTATGCTTGAAGACTGGCAGTGAACAAATCTAAAGAAATAATAATAATAATGAATTGGCTTTACATATACTGGCGGAGTTTAGCTTACGCTACTCTTCCACTCAACCAAATGAACTTTAAATGTTCAAGCCAGTCTCGAATATACCTACACAGTAGGTTGAATGAACTGACGCCTATCAGAAAACAACTACTCCCCTGGCTAATACCACGAAGGGCGTTGGATTATATCCGACCGGCGTCAGTGCAGGAATCTTCACTATAAATTACGGATATGCAGTTGGTTAGTATCTCGTCCACTAGATGGAGTGACATTTTTGATGTTCGCTCCAACTTCGGAAGAGGAATGAAATACTCTGAAAGGATTCCGATTTTCAATTGTGGAATATCATTGACTTTAGGTCGATGATGGTCACTATCTTGTACTGATGAGTGGCTAATAAGCCCGAAACCGGTCTGCAAGTGTGCCCGTTCCAAAATTGGCCAATTGCATATGCAGGAAATTTTCTGTGAAGATTCCTGCACTGACGCCTGTTGGATATAATCCAACGCCGTTCCTGGTATTATCCAGGGGAGTAGTTGTTTTCACCTAGGCGTCAGTCGATTCAATCTACTGTGTAGATATATTCGAAACTGGCTTGAACGTTCAAAGTTCATTTCTAAAGGATTTATGTAGATAACAAGAAAAATTCCGATAAACCAACATTTACTTTGATATGGCTTCCGAATCTACCTGCACACTTTATTGAAAAAAAAATGGTTTCGGCTTTCTACTTCTTCATCATTCTTTATCACTTCTTTGCATGGTCTACACAGCTTTGTGAAGATTTAATTTTTTTGAATTGATTACTTTCTTTCTTTCTTTGGGAGAATCCTACATTTCTCTGGTGGAAATTGAAAACAAGAAAGTCAAAACCTTTCTTTCCCAGAAATAAGCCTCTCCAAGAAGTATACCTCTTTCAAATCAAACTATATTTATATTTTATTCTTCTAGAATATCATTCTAGAATTGTTTCTTCCAGTAGCAAAACAAATATACTATACTTTTGTCAACTTACCCAATACATTTTTGTAATTTTACACAAAATCGTAAAAAAGATCAAGGAGTGTGAAATCTGGGAACTGAGGGTTCCTTTCAGATGCATTGAACAGGCCATATCAAATTGTTGCGAACTGGAAATTAAAATCCTTTGTATTATTGTTATTTTGAGATCAACCAAGATCACCAAAATTAAACATTTCAGTCTTCCTTTTGTAGATGATCACTTTGTTATTGAAACACGTGTCGAGTAATATTCATTACTACACCAAAAGTTCCTAACAGTACATCACAAGTACTGGAATGAATGACTGAGGCGAGATTCATACTCTTTCTTGTAAGCAGATTGCAAAAAGGTTTGAATTACTTCCAAAATTGAGTTGCATCAAAATTATCTGCAGGTGGTTTGAGTTCAGGCTATAAAATTGAAATTCCATATTATTGAAGCTCATAATCTACGACAACTGAAAATCAACTGGAAACAAATAAATATGGCCGCCCCATCAACGGCGTCTCCGTACATACCATAGAATTTGTGAAAACAATCAATGACATGAAGGATCATTCAAAACGAGGTCTTAACGAGGTCTTTTAATGTGTGTTTCCTAATACGGTGATGGATATAATTCAGTTTGGAAAAATTTGGTATGACAGTTTGTTTCCATCTTAGAAGCTAGGTAGTGAGATTTCTAAACTTGCTGAAAATAAAAAGTCCAAATGAATGGATATCAAAGAGCATTCAGTATTTTTGGGTTCAGTAAAAAACAATCAGTTGGAAGTGTTGGGTAAATTTTCGTATTTATTTATTATTCAGACTCGCATGATGAGTTTTTCGTGGATATGTATAATCTGTGTAATAACTTTTCTTTCGAGTAGTTGTATTGTGTGTACTTCCTGTGAATAATGCAAATAATCTGTTGAAGAGTCTCTTCCAAATTGGCTTTCGAAATCATTTTACTGATGAAGATTCTCATCTACAAAAAATTACTTCGTATACATAGTAATGATATTGTTATGTGTATGACATTGAAAATTCAAACATTCCAATTCACTTTTCTAGGAAAGCGTGGATACTCCCATTCAAGAACGAAGAAAAAGTTCCAACTGGTTCTCACGTCAGATTTCAAGAACTGGAATGGGTTCAATTCGATCCTCTTCAACGGCTTACTCTTCTGGGGGTCTTTTTGCCAGGTACCGGGGAAACTCGGTATATGCCAATCCAGAGAATGGCCAATTGCCAGGAATGCCAACACATAAGATGTCAATTTACGACAGGCTAGTCGGGAGGAAGTCTGGCAGAAGCAAAAGCCACAGACCAAGTGAGTAAATGAATTTCTAATTGAAGTGTTACAGCTTGGAAAATTCATCTGTGTCTCTGAGATACGCGAACGATAATGAGATGATGGTAACTCTCTACTACCTACTTTCATCAGGAAGTATAGTCGCAAAGAGAATTTTGGATTGAATAAATTGGGCAGGTGTTGACAACTACAAACATACCAGTAGGGAATGACAACCCTAATTCCTCCTCTCGGCAGGGTAAAATTATTTGAATATTTGAAAGATGAGTGATATAGAATTGCATAAAATAGATACAAACATTTTCATTAGAGATAAATGAATCAGGAGAAAATTGATGAACTCACAACCGATAATTGATAGATAATTGAATGGATAGTTACTAGAAATGCTTGTGAAACGAAGCAGATAGATAATCTACTCACAATCGCTACAATAAAAACAACTGAACTCTCAAAACGAATAGGTTTAACTCTTTTTATAGTGAGAAAGTCTACTTCGTCGGTTCTGTCGAGAAGAATGTTGATCTACGATTACGGGTAATTTGGTGGCATTGGATTTGGAAATATGAATAACTTGATTGGAACAGTTCCGATTGTCTATTTATCTATATCAAAAGTACTTTGACAAACTTCAGGAGGTGATTCCTCACAATATTCTAATATGAATTGTCCGAATAAATAAATGTCCGGAAACGCTTCGTTTCCAAGATACAGGATGTTGAAGTTTTATTTTTATTTTCGTTTTTTTCAAATAACTTTTGAAATACTGAACTTAATCAAATGAAACTTGGTAATAGGAGGTTTTTGAGGTGTCGAATTCGAACCTGATGTTCTTATTGCTCTTACTCGTAGGGAGCGCCACCTACACGTCATTTTCTTTTTTAAAGATTCATAACTTCTTTGGGCGTATTTCTACCACATTTTTCATTAAAAAAATCCATTCCTCTATCATATCTACGTAAATAAACTACCCTTGTTACTAGTCGCTGTAAGCAACCGTTTTCTAAATATTTGGACTTGAACACTTCAAGTCGATTATTTGATAATCGATGCATGTTGAAGTTATTACGAATATTTTGCATTTTTCACAAGAATGTTTTGGAAATAAATTTGACGTTTGTGAGTAGTTTTGGTGACAGTTAGACGTTTTGTTGAAGTTTCCGTAAGTAGAAGTAGAAAACACTTACTTGCAAAAAATGGATTATTTAAACAATAATGCTCATTTAGCCGATATGCATTTCGTTTATGTCCTTGCGGTTGGTAATGCGCGCGAAGCAAGACGTATTTACCAGGATCGATTTCCTAATCGAGTACTGCCTTCAGCTCCAACATTTGCTAGTCTCCACCGTCGTTTGGCAGAAACAGGTAGCTTTAAGAGGGCAGCTGATATTATTGGAAGACCACGAGCAGTCCGAACCCCAGAATTGGAAGAAGCTGTTTTGAACGCTCTCGAGGAGAATCCAGAAACAAGCACAAGAGTGATTGCTGAAGCTGTCAATTCTACTCAGTCCACAGTGGAGTGGAGAATTATCCACGATTAACAGTTTTATCCATACCATATTCAAAGGGTACAAGCTCTTTTTCTATGAGACTATCCCCAACGCATTACTATGTGTCAATGGTTTTTGAGAAAATTGGCTGGAAATCCTCAATACTTAAGATATGTACTCTTCACGGACGAGGCAAACTTCTCCCGAAATGCTATCACAAACTTTCATAACAACCATGATTGGGCTCTCGAAAATCCGCACGCAGTTAGTGAAAGGCATTATCAATATCAATTTTCTGTAAATGTATGGGCGGCAATAATTGATAATTACCTACTTGATAGGTCCTTTCTTTGTTCCGCTCCGACTGAATGGCGCAACTTATAGACACTTTTTAGAAAATGAATTGCCGGGACTACTTCAGAATGTACCATTAGAAATTCGTATCCGCATGTGGTTTATGCATGATGGGGCTCCGGCCCATTTTAGCGTTGTAGCCAGGGAATTCCTTAACACAGTCTATCCAAATCGATGAATCGGTAGGGGTGTAGAAGAATCTAACCAGGCGTGGGTACCAAGGTCCCCAGATCTAAACGCGATAGATTTTTATTTTTGCGGACATTTGAAGTCACTAGTTTATAAGACTCCAGTAGTGAACGAGGAAGATCTAAGAAACCGAATAGTAGACGCCTGTGAAACAATAAGAAACACACCAATAATTTTTGAGCGGGTACGAGATTCAATGACTAGACGACTGACTGCCTGTATCTTCGCTGAAGGTGGACTCTTCCAACAATTTATTTGAATACAATTTAGTTTCGTTTATTTTACTTTATTCTACATATTCAAAATTTCCTGGAATAAAATGTTGACATTTCTTGCAAATTTTATTGAAACAAATACTAATTATGCACCCTTGATACAAAAATAACTATATCGCTTAAGAATGTCATAAAGGAACGTACCAAACAGTAATGACCTCTTCAAACGAGTAAAACGTCAAATTTATTTCCAAAACATTCTTGTGAAAAAAGCAAAATATTCGTAATAACTTCAACATGCATCGATTATCAAATAATCGACTTGAAGTTTCCAAGTCCAAATATTTAGAAAACGGTTGCTTAAAGAAAGAAAGAATATTCTAAATTATTGAAATAATTGAAATATAGAGAGAATGATTTGCTTCTTCAATTTTACAGATTTGAAACTTAGTGGTGCTGCAGCGATGCAAATCAAGAACAGACCCAGAATTCCAACTCCAGATGTTACAAAAGAAGTCGTAGACAGAGAAAACAGATTAGCTGCCAGCGTGGCCAGCGTACAGAATCAGATGTCGGCAGGGTTAACTTTGATGCCGCATCAGATACAAGCTGGCTACGCTACTTACCCTTCAGGAGATATACCGGTGGTACAGGTATGTTACCCAAATCCTGAACACTGCCACTGGAATTGAATACTATGTAGATACACTTTTCCTGAATGAGGAAAGAGCACACAGCAATACAGTTTTGAGAGTTGCTTATACGAAAAAACAAAGTTACCCCCATTCATAGTTTTCCTTAGTACATAAGTTAGACTTCCAATGAAAATGTGATGAGAAACATAACTCATGATATTGAAAAAGATAAACCGAAACCTATCCTGAATCTTATTTCCATTTGGAGTGACCAAACAAAAATTTGGGAACCCTTGGTGCCATCTTTTACATAGACTTTACTAGTTTCGAAGACAAAAGAGTAATTTGTGAATCACTCCATTGTCAAGAACTCTCCATCTTTCTTCTTGGAAAATTTGGATTCTGAAGTGTATAGCTTCTGACCACTGAGATGGGCGAATCTTATTTTCTTTGTTTATTCTGATAGTGAAAGTCAGTTCCAGCAGGTTGAAACGTTTTGAACTATCAATAAGTAACCTCATCTATAACTTCTCTCACTATTCAGAATCTATCATAATATCTTGTTAGTTGATCCTTTTCAGCGGTACATGTTGATTAGCTTTGACCTTCGATCTGGATTTGTGTCAGATCATCAGTATAACCGTCAATGTCTGTTATGAAAGCTAATGGTTGTTAAATTATTCTTCAGCTACTTCATTGTATACACACCAAAAATGTCCATCAGGAATCCACTTATAGCCAGTGACTGTGGACATATATCATTGATGAGAGTTTGATTAGGATCTCTATAATCTGTCATAGTCCTATTCCGTCAAGCCTAACGAATAGGTAGCTCTTCATTCTGCGAGATTGTTGACGACCTTGATTCTCATATTCTATAATTTCTACAGTAAGATAGTTTTGCCTTCCTCAAAGAATATCTCCTATCTGAATCTGTTGATGATCCTCATGGAAACAAACACACTTCATTTTGGAGTTATTTATGTATAGACTAGCTGGGGCACTGAGCCTTGCTTGGGGAGAGTAAGGGTGATTATGCGGTGCTGGACTATGAACTTCTGAATACGTCAGGTGAAACATTTCACATTTACGATTCTTGTCGCCACCCAACATTTTTCATTTCATGTTACTTCCACAGCAGGTAACGTAAACTTGACCAGAAGAAAAGTAGGAGTATTTGAAGTTGATGCATCTCTCACTGGTATTATAGTCAGAATAAACAGAGCGACGTTGGAACCTACAATGGAACTTGCTTTATGTATTTACACGAATGGGTAACCTCACTTATACAAGAAAAGTTTCGAATGATCCACATTTCCACAATATCCTAGAAAAATATTCAGAATTGGTTCGTAATGTTCCACGATTATCTGGAATAGTCCAAGATGTTGCCAAACGTCTAAAATTGAAGAATTGCCGGTGATAACTATGGAAGCTATTTTCCAGGTTTTTCGGCTATGGTCTTCAGGTTTTTATGTCTCTTGTGTTCAGAGACGTGTACCTATACTTTCTTTCGTGGTTCTAATGTAGACCGACCTGCAGCTACAAGAAACCGGAATACCCCGTGTTGCTGAATGCTGGCTGACCTTAGACTTTCTCTGATGGTTTTCGTTGGCCTAAATATTGGTTTCACGTTGTGTTTCTCTAAGATTCTTCCAAAACGATCTGTAACATTTTCAACACAGCGAAGGAAAGCTTTACCTTTGACTAGCCTAGCTGGGGCTAGGCTCAATTTTGCTCAAATTCTCCTTTGCTGTATCCATCTCCTTTGAAGGCATTTTTCAGGTGATTGAGTTTCTCAAGAAGACTCTCAGGTTCACATCGTGCTTTTTGAAGCAACGTCTCAATTACCTCCTGTCTTTTGTTGAGACTGGTGGTTAGAGTTTTGTTCTGAAATGCTTTAGAAATTTCTAAAAGGCCTAAAAGGCCGTTATGTTTTCAAAACTACTCCTTTCAAGTAAAAAAGGAAACTTTGGTTATGTATTTTCGATTCGATTCTACTGGATCTAGCTCAGTGAATTTTCCAATCTCGAATGACAAATCTCACCTTTCCTGTTCTCACAGAAGTAGATTCAAAGGTTTTTGACAATGTTACTATTTGTGAGGTTCTCATGGGATTGACTACTATTGAATGAAGCCAGTATAACCTCCAAGTCTTCCGTAGATCCGTAGGGTCAGCTTCAAAGTCCTCGGCTTCCTTTTAATCTTTTGTAGATTTTGATTCGAGATCAGTCTGGGATCTACTCCCAAATATTCAACTTTCCCCGACAATTGAATGTTTTCTCTTCGGAGTTTAAGAGGTGTTGATCCTTGCATCTGGGTTCTTTTGGTGAATACTACTATTCATTTGAATGAATTGCTTTTTAGTCCATTTTCACTATATTATCATATTTTTCTTTCGTTAGGATGACTTAGTATTGTGCATAGCCCAGTGCTGAAAATTCATTATGATCTCGAAGACCTAATAACTCATCAATCACCTAGGAGTGTGGACAAATTCCTCCTGCGGATAGGAACTTCCCACCCTTGTCACTAATGATTCCTCCATGATGATTATGTAACTTACACACGCAGCTTATATAGTGGATTCCTCTGATTCGTGTTAGTCGAAAATATTGTACATTAAAAGTATTCATGAAGCACTGCTTGGAATCTTTGGCGTAGTAAAGAATATTACTGGAGTTTTACCTCAACACCAAACTGTTATTTTGACACTTCGACAGGTCACCAAGTGATCTTCTTCTGGAACTAATCTTCTTCTGGAAGAAGATCACCAAGTGATCTTCCAGAGAAAGCTTAGTTTTCCTCTTGAAGAGGTCGTGGTGTTGGGATAAAACTCCAGTAACATTCATTGAAAGTATAACTGAAAACTTAGTTACATGTAGCAAACTTGCTGATGTTACACAGGTCGTTCTATCACCAATTCAAGAGCTTGATGGCACTGGTTCTGTGAACAATACTTTGCACGCTAATCAGCCTGGCACTGCTGCACTAGCACAAGCTATTCTTTCACCAGGACTCGGTCCAGTTCTGACCACACCTGTTAGTGTACCTATGACTGTTTCGCAGCTAACTTCGCTGGGTTTGACATCACATCACAATAGTCCGCTATTGGCCAGAACATCATTCGACCATGCTTCGATCAGAAATCCTGCCTTCATTCAGGTGAGTTATGGAGTAGTTGAGAACATTGAAAGGGTAGATATTTCATTTGCAAAAATTAGAAAACTTTTTGGCTTGCTACTTTTCATCTATGTATAAAAAAATGTGGGAAATTTTTGAAGACTGAAGAAGGAAATCAAATTCATAATGAACTCTCAACAAAGATGTGTACGAAGATGAAAAATTGGAAAGCCAAAAACCTTTTTTGTCAAAAATAGTTGCACAAACTAATAGTGCAAAAATAATGTGGAAAGAATTCACTTTTTCGTAGCAAAGATAACAAGAAAACGAATGAAATGATCAAGTTCAGAGTCATGAAAGAGAAGAACTTCAGAACTTCCTGAATCATCTGAATAATAGCTTTCATCATCATCGTTTCATGATGTTTCAGTCATCAAGGAAAGTAATCAACTAGGCCAAATGGTGTACAGGAAGAAAACACACAGATCGATACCTAAATAATGGATCAAACCATCATTCACAACAGAAACGAGCAGTCATCAACACTCTAGTGAACAGAGCTTTGAAGATATGTGAAGAAGAGTACGTCGACGATGGAATAAAACACCTACCAACTGTGTTACAAGGAAACGGCTACATAAAAGACATACTCTGCGCTACGTGGGAGGGAGAAGAAGAGGATCGCCAGTGAAGAGCAACCCCAATGCACTGGAGTTGCTCTTCACTGGTACTTTTCACCAAGGTACTGCCATACATACATGTGTCACCAACCGAACCGGGAAAATTCTAAAGAAGGCGAAAATTAACACAGTCTTCAAACCAACGAAGAAAATATCAGAGTATCTGAGATCAGCAAAAGACAGCAGAGATCCACTCAAAATCAGTGGGAGTTTACAGGATCCCTCGTAACTGTGTTAAAGTTTATATCGGCCAGACGAAAAGGAGCATTGGTACCGGCCTAGTTGAGGAGAAGCGGAGTTGCCGATTGAGACAGACCGAGAATTCTGATGTCGCTGATTATGCATTGTCCGACGAACACAAGAACTTTCTCGAAAATACCCAGAGGCTAGCAACGTCGGAATATCATTCAACAAGAATGTATTTAGAAGCCATAGAAATGTACAAACCCCAACTTCAACAGAAAGGAGGAGAGATGATATCTACCAAAGATCTGGCACTAGCTTTGGAAGGTGCCAATACGAAGTCTTGCCATACAAATCGCGCAGGAAGTATGCGTGAACCCGCCGTTAGAGATAGTACACAGAAAATCAACACTTCAAATGACATGGCAGAAATGAGAGCATCAATTTCAGTTAATACGCCACTGAAGATGACTGCCGTAGTTGTTGATAGAAAAATTAGTATTGCTATTTAACGTGGTAATGCTGCTTTGGTCTTTGGAACTATATCCTCCTTCACATAATTTTGATGAGATCATGCATTGCCCTAATTTCAGTACGGAATTAAAATCTCTTCAAAACAAGCCGAGATATGAGGATATTCATCAGTCTCCTATAAAGGTTAATTCGCAAGTGATTGATCTACCTTATTCTCTTTCGCGGTAAATGGACTTAGGTCATTCTTGCCCCACAAATATGAGTTGCAGTGTTCGTGGTTCTGATTCGCTTTCAGTGGAAGAGCTTCATGAAGCAAGAGCCGAATCGATCTCTCTATGAAACCCTTCATCACTTAGATCGCAGCTTGAGAAATGGTTCTTATGCAGATTATGTGAAACATGTTCTTCCTTACGAATCAGTAGAGAGTTGTCCTGAAAACTTTGAGGGAAGAAAATTAGATTAGATAATTTAGGAAACACTTGCTACATGAATAGCATTTCACAAGTGTTGTTCATGACGAAGAATTTCAAGAACGCGGTTTTAATGATGAACGAGAACAAGAATCAACCTCTGACGTAAGCACTAAACTCTTACGAAGGTTATAAATAGATGAACACTCAAATCTAGCAGACTACTATTATGATATTCATGCAGTCATTGTTCATTGTGGTTCTGGCGTTGAATGTGGTCATTATTACGTCTTGGTCAAAGACGAAACGGACTGGTTTAAGTTTGACGATAGTCGTGTCACGAAGTGTTCTGGCAATGTATTGAATTTATTGGAACCTCTGGAGACACCTTACATTTTGTTCTATGAGAGAGAGGACATTGGCAGATCAAGATTTTCAGATGATGAGGTGCTGCAGGTTTTTCCGGGGTTTTCTGCAGCTGAAAAAGCAAAAGCGCCACTGGAATCAATGGAGTAGTTTTATAATTTGATGTTTCATCAAATTTTGAATTGGTTGACGAATATTCCCATTTTCAATCACTGAGGTTTTAGAATATACTGTTTTCTTCTTCAGCATTTTTATTGTTCACAGGCATTTGAACCAGAGAAACCACTGTCGCCCAACCAACCTCTGACCTTAACTGAAGTACAACCAGATGAAGAGCTACAGGTTTTCAGAAGCAGCAATGGTACTCCTTCTTCAGAAGACTCACATGCCTCCAAGGACTCCACATCCTCAAATGTGTCGGCCACAACTGCATCAGTCACGTCAAAAACCCAGGAGTCAACCAGTGACAGCTCAAAAGTGACCTCCCCCTTCATTTTCGACACTCTGCCGGTCACTCTCAAATTAACTCCGATTGCAGAAAGAAAAATAGTTGCGGAAGCTACTCTTATCCCCAGTGCTTCTGCTCCAAACTCCTTGGTGTCTCTTGGCGGTGGCAATGAAAATCAACACAGAAAAGTATCTTCTATATCCCAAAGTGGTCAGGAGGGCGGAACCTCTAAAAGAGAGGTATATGTTTGATCCTAAGTTGTGAAATAAAACACCGAAACATTAAGGACATATATACAAACAGTGATTCTGAATTAATTTCAAATAAGTGGCATTGTGATACGTTATCTTCATGACATATATAGATGTAACCGAAGTTGATCATGTTTGAAACATATTTGTACCTAATACTTCAATTTTTCACCATGATTTTCAGTTAACTATTATTATCCATTGATTTCTTTTACAGTGAATCTATTGGTGAAAGGTCTTGTATTCCATGGTTTTAATAAACATCATGTTGAAATATCTAACCAGGGCATAACAAAAATCAACAAACATAAAATAATTGGTAGTAACTTTGAGAAAATTGGTTCGACATAATATTTAAATAGTTATAGAATTGCGTGAATGAAGTGCCTGGAATGAATAAACTTTTTAAGAAATTGACGGCACCATATCAGTTTTTCTGTATTGAGAGTGACATATTGTGATATAATCTAACTTTGAATTTAGGCTGAAATTTCCATAACAATTTTTAATTAGTTTGGCCGCTATAGATATAGAGAAATTATGAAAATAATGAAAAATTTGTCGTTCAATTGGGAATTTGTCAGTGGTATTTGTGCCCCCCACTCAAGATATTGTATATATTATAAATTATTTTCATTATTTTATGCTGAGAATTGGGATGAAAGAATACATTTCATTATTGAATCTCTGCTCTCTCTGTATGATTTTATGTATATTTATTTGATTCTGGAATTCTTCTCAATTGGTGTATTTTGACAAATATTTGTATATATTTAATGTCTAAGGGTTAAATAAATGGTTAATTATCAACTTTCTTTTTCAATCTGAATATTTTTTCGGTAGAAGCATTACAATTGAGTTCAATAAAGTTTATAGAATATGCCTAGATTCCCTAGTGTGGTCCACTTTTCAATAATCCTCTGAAATATATTTCACGGCTGGTTTACGGCTGGTGTTAACAATGGGTCATATGTGGCCTTACACTCACCCTCCCCACTCTACATATACAGATATATCCAGTGAAAAATGAGATATTCTACATTTGTAAAGATGTTCAGAAATTTCTAAAAACGTAATGAGATCATACATTCTACTCAATGAAATGAAAGAATCAAATATTTGAACCCGGCTGCTACTGTTTAGTTTATACGTGGAGTGATGAATTTAATTTGCCGGATTTGATTTTTTAATGAGGCTTCTCAGCCACTCTTGTCAATTTTTTCATTATTTGACCAGTTGCAAACTGTTGCATGAAACTGTATGTGTTGTTCTCTGGCTGATCTACAAAGTTATGGTTATTTTCAGCTTTTTCTCATTTCCTGGTGAGGTTCATATATTGATGCTGAAAAAGGATATCAGACATAAGTTCTTTTCGAAAATGCATGGATTGTTCAAACAACTGAGAATTTGATTTCAATTATAACAAAGATGGCGTTACTAGCATCAAATCAAATCTAGCAACCAAGGAGCATCACAATAGATTTGAAAAGGTCGCAGTAAATCAAGTCATGGGTTAGCTCCCCGACAATCTAATCTATGCTAGCTTGCAGATAGATAGATAGATTGATGACTAATTCCACTACGTTACATGATAAAATGTTTGTAGCAAGTCAAAAAAGCATAAAAGTATTGGTCAGTTGAAAGGTGAAAATAGTATAAAAACAATCAAGAAACACAAATACGATAATATTAAAACAAAATTGTGTGTGTTGACATTATGAACATTTAAAATGATTTACTTATTATTCGACAGAATCGAAGCAAAATAGATAATGTTTTAGTGTTTTTTTTTTAATTTGGACATACTATGAATTTTAAAACTATCGGGAAGATAGTTGTAGAGTCTTCTTCGATTGACGACTTGTTTATTTTGTGGAAATTCATGTTCACTGAGGATACACTACAAAAACACACTTTTGTCTATTTTCCACTATATTTCTTTATTGTTGACCGGTTTCGGCTATTATACCATTTTCAAAACTAACTGATTACATTTAAATCTGAGTAATTTATACCTATGTTGCTTATTCTATCATAAATGATTTGATATACCTGACATACCTGATACCCGGTACCTGCGTTTCATATACTTGTAAAATCCATGAACATAACAAAGCTTTCAATATAATGTAGGTTTTGGGATCTAGAATATAGGTTCAGGAGAGGACTATTATTTAAATCAAGTTGTTCGTTGAGGACAATAATAACAAAATACCTACCACTCTAGTTAACAACATAATAATGAAATATCAACAAAAATCAATAATGAAAGAACTATACCCAATTTCCACAAGACCAAAACACAAATATGTTAGTATCAATTATGCTGGTAGAATCTCCGAGAATATTAAAAATTATCTCTCAAAATTCAATTTACAAACATCCTACACATCCAACGGAAATTTAGGAAACATATTATTTAATGCCAAACCTAAATAAGAGAAAGGGAAGAGATCTGGTATATATCGAATAGAATGTGGTGAATGCCCCGCCATATATACAGGCCAAACTGGGAGAAATTCTTATACAAGGTACCACGAACATGTCATTTCGGATAAAAAATCATTAATGTACGAACATCTTCAAAATTCGAAACATAAAATAGATAAAGAAAAGTTAAAAATCCTACACACATGCGAAAAAGGGAAAATGATGAATCTGTTGGAATCTATGGAAATAAACAGGTCAAAGAAAAATCCCAATTCTATTGTCCTCAACGAACAACTTGATTTAAATAATAGTCCTCTCCTGAACCTATAATCCAGATCCCAAAACCTACATTATATTGAAAGCGTTGTTATGTTCATGGATTTTACAGGTATATGAAACGCAGGTACCGGGTATCAGGTATATCAAATCATTTATGATAGAATAAGCAACATAGGTATAAATTACTCAAATTTAAATGTAATCAGTTAGTTTTGAAAATGGTGTAATAGCCGAAACCGGTCAACAATAAAGAAATATAGTGGAAAATAGACAAAAGTGTGTTTTTGTAGTGTATCCTCATAGTTGTAGAGGTTGAAATCCAGAGTGTTCTTTTGTGATTTACTCAAACGATAGCAGTTTATTCGAATTTTGTTCCAATGTCTGGTAACATAGTCAATTAATGAAGTTGATTTTTTGAGAATTTTATAAGAACGTCGAACAAATATAATGTGGGCAACGGCATTATTCTTAATTTGAAAAACGCAGAGGTTGACATTGATTGATCTCTATGACCAGAGTTAGTTATTATTATTAGTTATTATTAACGTAAGGCATTCCATCACTTTCACAATGGAGAAGGAAATCCACAACGAATTGTTTTCTTTAGACGTATTGGTGAATAGGACCGACACTAAATGGGAAACATCAGTATAGCAAAAACCCACTCACACAGGACAGTATCTGAACCAGAAATCCAACCACCATCAATCGACTAAGAAAGGAATCATCAAGACTCTATTGGACCGTGCTTTTGGGCTCTGTAACACAAAGGAAGGTCTCGAAAAGGAACTAGGCAATATCAAAAATGACCTTCAACGGAATGGTTACTCCAAAGTGATGGTAGAACAGGCTTTAGCTAGAAGACGGCAAGAACTCCACAAGGAAGAGAAGCCGCCACAACCAGTACGTGTACTGGTTGGATAATCAGAGGATTATCGGAAATTATAAGACGGATTGGGTCCAAATATAACATCAGGACCTGCTTCAGATCTGGGAACACTATCCGTAGCAGCCTCATGAAAACTAGGCCACCAAACGCGGACTGCGATTCCAAGAATTGCATTTACCGGATACCCTGCGAGTGCGGAGAATCATACATCGGTGAAACTAAGAGGCCATTGAAAGTTCGCATTGCTGAGCATAATAAACACACACAGCGAGGAGAAACCAGCAAATCCGGAATAGCCGAGCATGTTTGGACTCATCAACACAACATCAAGTGGGCTCAAGCCGAAATTATCCACAAAGAGGAACACTGGTTTAGGAGAAAATTCAAAGAAACCGATTATATGTTATCCAACAATGCATTTAGTCAAGCTAGCGTAGAGATACGTATCATATGGAAACCTCTAATCAAGCGAAAAACGACCAACTGCCGCCAAACGGTCATCTCCCGACAAAACCAATGAAGCGGAAAGAGGTAAGCGGGGATAAGTGAAAGCACTCTAATGACCTATAAATAGTCAGATTTCAAAGGAATAACTCCAGTCATCACCCGAAGACGATTGTGGATACTAACAATTGAAACGTTGTGACATAACTCGGTTTGAAATCTTTAAATTTTAATTTTCTCATTTTTTGTTTGTTGTTGTCTCTTTTTTTGTAATTTCAGTTTTTTCTTTAACAGAATTGTTATTTTCTGTTAATTTTTTTGAATTTTTTTCAGGGTTATCAAATCAATTTATATTATATTAGCCAATGGTTCGAACTGATGAAATTATCATTCTGAATTGTACTAAAAAACCTCTTTTTCTATGTCAGCCTACGAACTTGCTAGCCCAACTGTTCAACAACAGACACCATTTCATTTTGGTTTGTTACGCTACTGATTTATTTCTGAATCAGATCTGCAGTTGTAGAAAAAAGAAGCGAAATTTTGGGGTAATTGAACTTCAGAATTATAAGGACCGCACACGCAGATACGAATGTCCGGTTTTCTTAATTTCCAGGAGGTGTTCAAGTATGAAGTGATTCATTAATACAGTTAGTGCATGATATGTTTTGGGCAGTCAAAACAAGATTACTTTCAAAATAATTGCAATTTTAATGACAAATGATATCACAAATATGATGAAATATATGTATAAATAGGGATGGTTATACTTTTAGAAGTGACAAATTTTTTGGGAAAGAAAGTTCCATCTTGATACAAAAAATGTGGGAATCTCCCAAAAAAAGGAAGGAAGTAATCAATTTTGAAATAAGTAACTCTATACATGAATGTGTAGATCATGCAGAGAAGCAACTTTCAGACACAAAATGGAAAAAAAGCACACGAAAAAAAAAATTCAAAACAAATACTTTTATATCAACACTGAATTATACAGAAGACACTATTCTCTACGCAGTTTGTATCCCAAACATTCGTTATGGAATGAAATCAAGTAACATTCATAGGAATTCCACATTGAATGAATGGTAAAAAATTGCACTTACATGGAACACTGTCATCCTCACTGGTATACATTGATGTTTCGCCGTAAGACACTTGCCTTAAGGCTCATAGGTACCAATTTGGATATCATTATACGAAACAGCACACAATTCATCAATGAATGACGATTTTTATGACACGGAATAAGTTTGATCTACCTACTTATGTCATCGATGACATCGTAATGACATTGATTCACCTATTTGATTAAATCCCAGCTAAGAGGAATCTTATTTGAATTGAAGGGGTTACATGTTTAGTAGAAAATAATTTTTGGGAAAGAAAGTTTTTGGCTTTTTACTACTTCATCCTGATCAATATGGAGTAGTAGAAAGCCAAACACTTTCTTTCCCAATGAAATATATCATTTTGTAACTATTAATCCTGTTCACTCTATTCGAATATATTTCTTTCAAACTATTGAAATTGTACATCAACTTTCATAGCTTATCATCTTTTTTGAAAGTAATTGAAAGGGTTGTAGAATAAATGAAGTTTTCATTTCAAATAAATACAGAAATTTAACGACTAGAACGAGACATAAACTTGGTTAGAATTGAAAGGAGCATATTTTCAAGAAATATTAATTTTTGGGAAAAAAGGTTTTGGATTTCTACTTTTTTTTTGGAATTTCCTATATTTTTTCGCGTGACGATGAAGGAAAAAA